AGCATACGTGCTCGGTTGGCTTTGTTTCTCTATTCGTTACCTTTACCGTTTCTACTTGTTGATTATCTTACGGAGCCTGGAGGGGGCGATATACCTTCGACGTGATATACAGAGGGCCTGGATGGTCATTGAGCATACGATTACTTGGAAGACACTTAGGGTAAGTGTCCTGTCTCGAAATACAACTAACTAGAACCCTAGGTACGATACGAGAGAAGCCAGGTTATGACACATACCTGAGTATCACTTCTATCAAACCCTCATATTCAACATGGAGCTTGACCCTATTGTTGAACAAGGAAAGCATTATGGGTTGAAGAGAGGCAACTTCACATTCCCTCGGTTTCTTAGAGGACATAACGATATTTCGCATGTCTTTAGTGGCAAGAAGCTTGTACCAAATGATAACATCTGGCAGATATGTGACATAACAGGTTCGCCCCTACAAAGAATTGTGTCGACAAATCAACATCGCTTTGAGGTCTTGTGGATAGATGGATCCTTCGGAACAGAGGAATGGCCAAACTTGTTATTATCATGCAAGATAAGATAATATCTACCAGGGATGGAACCATGTCTGATGACATTGACCATGAGTGTCTCCTCAGTTTCCCCGAGAAATATGAGTCTTCAACAGGAAGCAATAATATCAGATATGACTTGAAGTTTGTGCAAATTATATGAGAAAGAAAGCCTATCTGAGGGATAGGATTCTGACCAGGGCAAGGGTCGTGTCAGAAAACCAATCTGCTGGTCTGCGACCCCAACAGGGCTTCCAGGAAAGCACACCTGCGCTTGAAAACTCAATTACAAAGAAGCAAATTTACGTCCTTTCTGCAATAGGGAACAAAAAGTTGGCTTGGTGCTTGTATAAGATGACACTGAAGGAAGGTACTTTCCCAAGAAGAAAGGCTGAAAACAGGCAAATTCTATCAGATGCGGAAGTATGCCGACCCGAGATTCGGACAAGAACGACCAATCTGAAGCATTAAATATCCCACCAGGGACATTGAGGCGATAGCCTAGACAAGAGAAGAAAACTGCAAGAATGAAACAAGGCTCGTCGAGAGCCGATGGAGTAAGGATAACTATGAAACTCTCAGATCAATTCTGATCTGGTTATTATCCGTCCCTCATGCTGCGTCAGAAGAGCTGTTCAAGAAAAATATTATACAGCAAGGTAAGTACTGATTGGTTTAATTGAATCATTCCAGCACCATGTACCGCTCATTTAAATAGATAGAGGCGTTATGGGCGCCTGAAAACTTTACAGAATGCTTTAACTAGTTATCTTGTTGAATGATTAATATTATGCACCCTGAGCATTTGCTTGACCCACTGTAAATGTCGCGACGGAAATGCCAGCACAGCCTTCAGACATCAGCTGTGACGGCTCATATATGACGGCTCAACACTGCAGCAATGAATGATACATCGCAAATGCTGCTACT